TGATGTAGAATGATGGAACTAACAGGCGCTACTCCTTAGCTGTTGTCTTGCAGCAGAAAAGAAAGAAAGAAAGAAAAGAATAATGATGTCTCTGCCTACAACCTTCTGAACCATAACCCTGGCAGATTTGGTACTTCAGTTAAAGTGGAATTAAACTATTTTTGCTGAAATTAACCTTGATTGGATAGTCCTATTATACTCACACCAGAGATTTTGAATCCTCCGTAGGTCTAACGTATGCAATTTTAGCAGCTCGAGGATTCTGATGTTCATAGCATCCACTCCACAGTCTTTGTTGAGAACCTGTTACGTGTTGAGCCATATAGTAGGAGCTGGAAACAAAGTGTAAGCACGACAGATGTGTCTCTGTCTCATCAGAACATACAGGCATGCAGGTGGGGGTGCAGCCATTAAGCAGATCATTGTACTGATCGAAGTATAACCACAGGCCTATGTTTTATGATTCTGTGAGGCAGTGGAACCTCACCTGGCCTGGAGGGTTTGAAGACTTCCTACTTGAGGTGACACATAGAGGACAAGGAAGAGGGAAGCCAGGTGGAGAGGGTGGAGGCGGGGAAGAAGGTTGTCCTGTAGGTAAAGGGAACAGCAAATCTGAGTCAGGGAACTCTTCGAGGCCAGAGTCTAGAGGATGGAGAGTCTGTGTGATTTGAAGTAAGGCCAGAGAGCCGGATTCTGCAGGTGCCATGGGTCAGAGGAGGATAATGGTCTTCATTCAGTGACTTAGGTAAAGCCCGTAGGGGAGTTCTTGGCATGGCATTGATGTTAATATGATCTTATATTATAGTTACAAACTATAGTGTTAAGTAATATTCAATGTTAACTATTACTGTTTCTTTTCAGAGCAGAGGGAAGCCCCTACAAATTTTAGGCAGGAGTATGACCAAATTTGCATTTTGTGGCCTTTTCCTGGCTGTGGTGTAGAAAACAGATTTGAGAGAGGAGGTTGGTGCGTATGGCTCTGAGAAGACTAGAAGCAAGTGTGTTCATCTAACAGGTGGTCAGAATACAGTGAGTCACCCGGGGCCTGGGCCTCACTGGTGCCTATAACTGTTCATGACTCAGGAGATACATAACTTGGAGGGTCTCAAAGTTGTATAAGATTGTGTAAATGTAGCTACTTTTTCAGAAGTTTTGAGCTATCCAATTTTAGATTTAGTAGGGAGCCTACTGCAGAATCCACTAGTCATTCTACTTTGGAAGGCATTCGGTATAGACTATTAAATGGCTTGTAGAATCATTCAAGAAGGCAAAGCTTTCAGAAATGTCCCCCAACGCCACATCACAGAATGGGCCTTCCCAAGAGTTGCTGCTTCATCCTCAGCTTTTTGCTGAGGAATGAGGAAGCTACCCTCTGTTGCCCCCATAGCTCTTTGATAATCTCTTGCCAATTTACCGACAAAACAACGGGCGTTGTTGCGCCCATTCTCCAAGCTGCTGGCTCCTGCCAGGCTCCCAAGCGGCTCTTCAGCATGATCAAAGTTCTACATTCTACAAACAAATGCGCAGAAAGCTAGCAGCCAGCATTAAGACCTCTGCCACCACGACCACTAAACACATAAAGGCTTCCAAGAGCCCGGCCCAGGATGCTGTAGTCTGCCTTTGTTTGGCAGAACCTTAATCACATCAGAACCCTGGCTGCACAGAGTTGAGCTCTTTAGCTCTGCAGTGCAGGAAAGCTCCCGGAAGGATGCTGGAACGAGCCCACCTGTAGGATGCACCATGCAACCTAAGTTCAGATGCCAGCTAGCCATTCAGCAGGGATTTACATTCCCCCCACCTCACCATACTAGCTTTGTACGTGTGGGCACTCCCTGAGCCTCAGTAACTTCATTTATCAAAGTGGAGGTAATGATATTTATCTTCCAGGGTTCCTGGGGGAATTAAGTTAAATATGATAAGCAGAAGAGCCATAAGATTCCTGGCACATGGTAGACATTTAGTCAATGAGACATCAGTCAGTCACAGAACACCATTCCCCAACTCTATAGAAGAAACAGTATCCCTGTAAAGGAGGAGATAAAGTACAGCTTCCCACTAGAGAGATTTCATGGCCTGGAGACAGGTGGCCCTGTACCAGGCGCACGGACTTTGGGAAGCAGATTTGCCCCCGGAAGAGTATGTGGGATTTGTGTGTGCATGCTGGTTCATTTAGTTGTTATTTCTTTCATTTTTAATTAGTTTTTTTTAATTTAAAAATAATACATACGCATAAACAATGAAAAGAAAGCCTCTCTTTGTAGGTCAAATTTCCTGAAATATCTATGCATATAAGCATATATGTAATACAGATTCTTTCTTTGTTCACCTACACAAATGGGGTCATATTTTCTCCCTTCCTCCTTCTCTCTCTCTCTCTCTCTCTCCTTCCTTCCCGCCTCCCTCCCTCTCCTCGAGATAATTTATTTTAGTTCATATAGAACCAAACACCTACTGATTATAGCTAGTTGTTTGAATGATTTTGCTTTACAAAATTGCTCTAACACCTGTTCTTATACAGAAGTGACTATATCTGTACAAGAAATTTTTAGAAGTGGAAACGCTGGGTCAAAGGTTAGGTCCAGTTTATAATTGTATTGATATTACCAAATGGCTTTCAAAACAGTTGTCCCAGGGCATGCTCTTTACCAATGCTGTGTATGCTGCTTTCATGCCTCCATCCTCACCAACAGTGAGTCAGACTTTCTGACTTTGGTCAGTGAAGATGAGGGAAGTTAAGAGGTGATACTAGGGTACACCAAGAGAAATTCTGACCAAAGGATGGAGGTAAGGGATTGCAGGATAGGAGGTGAGAGAAAGTGGGGCTGAAATTTAAATTTAGAAGGGAAACCAGCAATCTGACACTCTGTGCCTGGCAGTGACTTGACCAGGCAATGCACCTGTTACTATGTTCAGTCCTTATAACCACATTCACCCATACACATTTTTATCCCCCATTTGACTCTGACAGCCAGTCTCTGTCCACTCTACCTCCTGTGTCCTTATTTTACAGTTGAGGAACCAAGGCCCAAAATAGTTAAGTGATGTATCCAACATCCCAAAGCATGCTAAGTCAGGGCAGGGGTTCTGTTTTCCACCTTCGTAAATGCTACATAAGTCCAGGATTTGAGTCTTTACCAAAGAAGCCACAAAGGATCAGAATTATATCTCCAGGGCATATGTCATCCACATTTGAGTTTAATGGTCCAGTTGAATTCAGTTATTTCCTATAATCGAAGAGGTTCCATTATAGTTGCATGGACATGGTCTGAAACTCACGGACCTTTTTTCACACTGGTGATAGGTTCTGTATAAAGTTCTTCCCCAAAGATTTTATGTCCCTTTCCACAAAAACTACTGTGTTTACCCAAGGAGCACTCTTGACAAAAGCTACATGAGATGAAAGCTTTAAGCTCCTTGGGATTTTAAGATTTTCTTATAAAGGATTACGCAGCCCATTGTGAGTTCTACCCTTAGTCCTCTGGAATCTTAAAACTGTCCTGTAAATCCCTCCTTGAAGCCCTTTTGGACCCTTAGGCTAGCATCTGTGTCCTCTTTCTCGTTGTTTGCTGCTGTCTCAGAGTTCCCAATCTTTTCTGTGTGCATCTGGGCAGTTTCCACTTGAGTTAAAAACTTGAGAGTTCAGATTGTCAGATCTAATGATGATTAGAGACATTCATATAGAGTGTAAAGTCCCAGTGCGGGGGGCACTTTTCAGTGGCACCGTATTTGGGTCGATCATTATCATTGGGGGGAGTGATGATTGAGAATTGATGGAAAGAAGAGAACTAAAAAAATAAACCTTTTATCTGGAAAATGAAGCTGGGCCAATGACTTTTTTTTTTTTTTTTAATTAAGAAAGCCAACTTTTGAATTGTCCCAATTGGAAAACATCCTGTTAATGGTCATTGTTTTAGGGCAGAGCCATGGTGTTCTGGAGAAATAGTCCATTTGATGTACTTGTGCAAAGCAAAAAAAAAAAAAAAAAAAAAAGTGTCCGTGTCAAAGAAGGGACTTTGTTGGAATTTGAGGGCTGCAGTGATCTTAGAAGTTAACTAGCCTGACGCCTGGTTTTATAGGAATGGAAATGGAGACATGTGGGATTTAGCCCAGAAGCCACTTCTGAGCAGTGTCAGCTGGAGCGAGAACCAGGCTCTTCTGTCTCCATTTGGTATATTGTTCAATTTCCATGCATGTGACCCACATCTGATAATCTGCTGAGAGAATATGATTATCTGGGATTTTGTTTGTTTTCCGGAAGTGGCAGTGACTTATTTTCAAAGCTATCCTAAACAGACCTAACTGCTTTCAATGCAAGAGAGGGGTACACAGATGAGAAGATGAGTCTGTTAAAAGAGGTGGTCGCAAAGACAGTGGATTGAACTCCTTTTCCACGGGATGCTTAGTTGGTAGGTAGGATATGTGATCTTCGCCTCATTGCAGACATCGCCATCCCACTTTTAGTTTGTGATTAAATGCATAACTGCCATGTAGTTATACTGCCGACTTAAGTCAGGAAACTAAGAGGTGTCTTCTTTGTGAATGACCAACGGCTCAGGACTTGTTTCAAATTGGTGATATAAATAATCTAACAAGGTCCTTCATTGTACATTTCTCAGAGCAAACAGAATGCAGTGTGTTTTTATAACCAGATAGCTATTTGATTTTTTTTTCTCTTTCCCACATTTGGATATAAATGGATATAGAATTACTTAAAATGCTGCATATAAATTAAACATTAAAAGGGAGATATGGAGAGGCTAAGCTGCCCCATTATAATCTTCAGTTGCTCAGTCACTGCCTCAAGGACACTCCATTTCATGTCACCTGTCCTTCTTTGGAAAAGTGATCACCAAGGTTCAAGTAACATTTAAGCATAGAGGCAACTGCATAATTTATGGACCTTTGTTTTGTTTTGTGTTCTTATTTTAATGAAACGGGAAAACAGAAGGCTTCCTTTAACTCCCACTAACTCCCCTTGTGCTTCCCTCCTGTCTTTGCAGATCGGGGCCCTAAAGGACTACTACCACTTCTACCATAGCAGGACGATTAAAAGGTCAGTTCTCTCGAGCAGAGGAACCCACAGTTTCATTTCAATGGAACCAAAGGTAAGAAGAACCAGTTGGGTGGGGACCAAGAGGCGAAAGCTTCTGCATTTTTCATTGGTAATAGCACACTAGGAACTGATGACCAGCGTGAAGACTCACGTTTCGGGAAGCCATCCTATTATCCTTTGGTCGAATGTCTTGGCTTCTGCTTTGGACCAAAATAGACGATCGCTTGATTTTCACTGAACTGCCCTTATCATCCCACTGGTACGACAGTTCAGGGGTATCATAAGTATGGGTTCTCATGGAGAAGGGAGGAGTATGTGCAAGGGGAGATACTAATTGATTCAGAAGTGTTGAAATAGTAAGAATACCACACCATCTTACTGATTTGCATGTAGATCTGAGGTTCTAGCCAAACTCCATAGAGGGGTCCCTAACCAAATCCTTAGGTCAGGCATCAGGGCACCATGGATCCTCGCAATTTCGTCTGACGTTGATAGAGCCATGCCTTTGGCCGCCTGAAGACTAGATCATGTCTGGGACGGGAGGGATACTGAATACAGAAGGGATAGAAGCTGGCTTCTGGTTTTGAGGTAGGGCTCATCAAGTAGTTTTCTTGCACGTTGTCTTTACTCCATGTCCTTTGGGGTTATATAGACAACACCCCCTTGGGAGTACCTAGAAGGAGATATGATACATCCACATTCTCCCACTCCTTTCTGGAGAGGTGGCACAGCTTTGGACTGGGAGATAGGAAGGTGAAGGGTGTTAGGGACAAACCAACCAGAAACTGGCAACTAACAGTCAGGGGGTGGGTTACACACACACACATATCCTTATTAAATTAGAGGAAGGCACGGACTCTGAGGGGGACCTCCTTGGCCCCCCATATGTGGCAAGTAAAACGGAGAAGGCAGCTGTACCAGCCTGCCCCAGTTCCTTTGTGGGCTCACTGTTGATTCCTTATTGATTAGGAGGGCTTTTTTTCCACCCCCATTATGTTCATTGCCACATGAACTCATTTTCATATAAATTGGTGAACAAGTCCGTACAAGTGAGCATGGCAATCTCACCTATAGATGCCATGAAAATTGTATTCCTCATTAAAGCAAAAAGTCCTTATTTGCATTAATATGCAAATCAGGTTTGCAGTTTGGAGTCCTGCCCTCTGTTTTGTGCCACGGTTTGCCTTGTTTAATTTGTTTCTGGAATATTATCACATGGTTGTTCATGATTGTGAAATTGTATCTTGGTCATTCAAGAAAGCACATTTCTTGTAGGTCCCAATTTTCTATAACCCAATTTGGGATTATAGGAGCATCCCCTAAGACTTACACTCCAGTGGCCTGAGGATTGTATTTTTTTTTTTCCCCTTCATCTCTATTCAGAATTGAATGTCTCTGGAAAAGCAATCTGTTGGGATGTTCTTGAATTAGCTAAATTTTTGAAGCAAAGTCACGTTTTTCATCTGCTAAACAACTTTTTTTGAAGCTTTCTTGAACTTTGGTAATTAAAATGATTCCAATTTCATACCTCATGTGTGTAGTCAGTGTGAATTTGAGAAACCAAGTGCTAGTTGGTTTGGGAGGTAAGAACAGAATGTAATGAGGCATTGTGTTCATAATGAAGTATTTACTGTATATGGAGTTGCTTCAGTCTTTAATGCCATCTTGGGGAATCCTGGTCTTCATGTTGTCTTCTTCTTCTTTTTTTTTTTTTTTAGCTTTATTTGAGAAAGAGAGAGAGAGGGAGAGAGAGAGAGTGGGGGGAGGGACAGAGGCAGAGACCCTTCAAGCCACCTCCCCGCTGAACGCGGAGCTTGACGTGGGGCTCAATCCCACAACCCATGAGATCTCGACCTGAGCTGAAGCCAAGAGTTGATGTTTAACTGACTGAGCCATTCAGGCACCCCTCCCTGGTCTTCATTCCTTTTCATCTTGGTGCATCAGATAGCTTATGCAGGATCCCACAGAGAACTTGGATGCTGGTGCACATCATACCTGGAATGTATGCCCTTCCTCACCCAGTCCAGAGAGTAGGGCCATTTCAGGACAGTTCTAGGGCACATGCTCAGTTACCCTTCCTCCTCAATAAAAAGAACACCCCTTTGGAGAGCCATACCTTACTTTTTATTTGGATGCCTCCTGCCCCTCATTCCCACCCAGCCATTTATACAAGAGGGCCATATCCTACCGACTTTGCAGCTGGAGCACCATGATGGGGGCTGCCCACAGTTTCTTTCAGATACTTCTTACAGCTCATTCATTCATTCAGTGGCCATTTCTTGAGCCAGTAGTATATGGTAGGCCCTATGTTTGGCTCTGGGGATTTGGAGACATAGTGGTGCCAGAGGGGAGCTCACTGCAGGCTTCCACAGTGGCTGTCAGAGAAGCCCAGAACAATCCAATGCTTCTCAGGTGTTGGGGATGGGGGGAGCAAAGGGGATGGACGTACACTATATTCCCCCTCCTTTTCTAGTTCTGTCCTCGAAGAGCTCAGGCCCACTTGGGTCATTATTATTATTTTTTAATCTTGAAAACCTTTTTACTTGGGGAAGTCACAGAAATGTTGTGAGGAATCCCTATGTAAGCTTCCCACCTTCCCCAAATGTTAATGTTTATGTTTTACATTTTACCATACCTACTTGATCATATTCTCTCTCTCCTCTTTATACACAAATGCACCCCCCCACACACATATATGTATGTGTACAAATCCATATATATAGTTTTTTTCTGAAAATTTGGGGGCAAATTACACACATGACGCCCCTATGACTTTATGGATTTCACTGTGTATTTACTCAAACCAAGGACATTCTGTTATTATAACCGGAAGTACAGTTAACATTCTGGTAAAAATCTGGATATTAACAATGATTTAATATTATTATCCAATCTACAGATTTCATTCAAGTTTTTCCAGTTGTCTCTTTTCTGGGCCAAGAACGCATCTAGCTGTCATTTGTCCCATGTCCCCTTTGTAGATTGTGTCATACTTCTTTCCATTTTCTTTTTTTTCTTTCAACAACTAGCACTTTTTTCTTTTTAAAAATTTATTTATTTTAGAGAGAGCATGCGCACACGTAAGTGGGGGGAGGGCCAGAGAAAGAAGGGGAGCATCCTCAAGCGGACTCCCCACTGAGCGTGGAGCCCAACACACGGCTCTATCCCAGGACCCAGAGATCATGACCTGAGCCAAAATCAAAAGTCAGATGCTTAACCACCTGAGCTACCCAGGCACTCCAATAGCTAACAGTCTTTTTGAAGGTTACTGTTATTTTGTAGATTATCTAACATCATGATTAATTCAGGTTTAGCAAAAACACCAGAGGAGTGCTGGGCTCTTAGTGCCTCAGATCAGGAAGTGCGTGATGTTGACTTGGTTTGTTACTCGTGATTTTAACTTTGGTTCCTTGGTGGTGACACACGTAGTGTCTGCCAGTCTTCTCTATGTTAAAATGACTAGTTCCCCCTCCCCTTTTTAAAAGATTTTGTTTATTTATTTGACAGAAAGAGACACAGCAAGAGGGAACACAAGCAGGGGGAGTGGGAGAGGGAGAAGTGGGCCTCCCACCAAGCCGGGAGCCCGATGCAGGGTTCCATCCCATGACCCTGGAATCATGACCTGAGCCAAAGGCAGATGCTTAACCAACTGAGCGACTCAGGCGCCCTAGTTTCCCCTTTCTAATGAATAAGTGTTTGATGGGGAGATACCTTGAGATGGCGTGAATGTGTGTGGGCTGACTTTGTATGTTTCACTCCCGGCAGCCTGTGTTGGGGGGATAAAGCTAGCGTCCATGTGACTCGCTTTCTTAGGAAGGTCTTTTCTTGACTGTTGGGTGTATGTATGGTAGATGGTTAGTGTGCCAGAGTGGAGATGCATATGTGATCGGGGTGATGGGACCATGTGGACTGGCTTGGTGGCAAACATTGGGGGTGCATTGAAGTTACTTTTGATTGTCATTTTCTTAAGAAAGGGCGTACCAGTGAATTGCAGGGAATATGTACACTAAACAGATCCTGGCTTTTACTTGATGTAGTAAATTGCACGTTCCTCCCTCCCCCCCCGCTTTTGTTTTTATTTAGAGGGTTCTAAAGAAGAAAGTGCTCAAGTAGCCAGGAGGGTTGTAAGAACAATCTTCTGGTGCTAAGAAAATGCTGTGGTCAGTTGGGGCACATTGAGCCCAGAGAACAAGAATAGCCTGGTTTCCATATGTTAACATTATGTTATGATTAGCTTTTTAAATGACAGAGATGCACAGACTTCTAAGACAGTGTCATTAGTACAGTAATAACAGTTTTGCAGAAAACACTGGTACCGTATTACAGCAGTTGGACCAGGGAGTCTTGCAATACTTGTATCCATACCTTTCTTTGTGACGGGCCAGCTTTTTGCTCCAAGAGACCCAAGCTAAATTTCAGAAACAATGGTTTTGAGTTAACATTCTCAGAAGCCTCTCATTAATCTGTTTAGAAATCGTTGCCAGCCCTGTGGCATTTGGTCAAGGAGGCTGTCATCTGTAGAGAGCTTTGGAATGGAAGTTCTTTTTTTTTTTTTTCTAAGATTTATTTATTTATTTGAAAGAGAGCAAGAGAGAGAGTTGCCATGTGAGCAGGGGGAGAGGCTGAGGGGGGAGGGACAGAATCTCAGGCCAACTCCCCACTGAGTGTGGAGCCAGATGTTGGAGCTTGATCTCATGACCCTGAGATCACGACCTGAGCTGAAATCAAGATTTGGACACTTAACTGACTGAGCCACCCAGGCACCCCAGAATGGAAATTCTCTATAGATTTTGTGCTGCCCATGTGGACACGGGCTGGGGCAGAGGTGGGATTTTTCATTCTCCTCCTTCTTACCCAGAATAGAAAAACCAGAATCCTAAATTTCCTATCAGAGTAGGCATTTAAAAATCTAAAAAACGTAAAAACAAAAAAACCCCCCAAAAACCCTTGCCATTAAGTTCGGTCCTCATATCTTATCCATGTGTAATTTACAACATAGCTCCTTTTGCCCATGAGATTTGATCTTGAAAGTTCTGGCCTTTTAGTCTTTTT